AAACTCCAGTTCCAGGGGATCTGACACCCTCTTCTGATCTCTGCAGGCACTGCATGACAGGGTACACTTATATACATATAGGCAATGCACTTATACACATAAAGAAAAATAATAAATAAAAATTTCTAAAAAGAAATTTTACTAATGGAATATTTCCTTGTGAGTGTAAATTTCTGTTACAGCTTGATCTTAATTGTGCCTCAAAGGCTCATGAGTTTTATGAAGCCCTAGTCACTAGCTTATGGTGCTATTCTTGTAGAAACATTAAGAGTTGGGGCTTAGTGGTTGTTGGGAGTATATTCTTAAAGGGGATTCTTCTCTCCCCCTACCTTCCTAGTAGTCAAATGACCAGGAGATGAGCAGCTTTTTTTCAATCTCTTCCTTCCAGCATGCATATCACCAGGATAGAGTGTGCTGTCACCAGCCAAGCTCTATGGCCTGAAACCTCAGATGATATCAACCAAAATACACATTTTCTCCCATATTGATTTCCTCTAGGGATTTTTTTCCTCTATGGGGACAGAAAACTGGCTAACACAATTTCATTTCCCAAACAGGAAACTAATACTTTATGTGAGGTAGTTAAGGCAGAACTAAAGAGCTTTCTGCTTCTACAGGTTTTGGCTGGCTTTAGTTGTGGCCCTTGGTGAGATTCACTGCTCAGAGCTGCAGCGTCCTCAGCTCACCTGCTGCCCCAGTCTGAGAGGGTAGAAGCCACATCCCCCAAGAACAGGCCCCAGACACTTGTAATCCCATCAAGTACTCTGGCTTTGGCCTTGGTCTTGACCTGTGTTCTTTCCACTGATTCGTCTGGAACTGGAGGATAATGCTACCAGGATTGAGAGAATGGCAGGTCTCAGTTGTCCCTATTTTTCAAGTAAAGTTGTTTAAGAACACTGACTACTCTTGCAAAATACCTGGATTTGGTTCCCAGTATGCATATGGCAGCTAATATCAACTGTTCATAGTTCCAGTTTCAGGAAATCTGATGCCCTTTTCTGGTCTCCATGGGCACTCCACACATGATGTACATGCATACATGCAGGCAAACACTCATATACATAAAAAATTATGAAAATATACATTGGGGTCAGAGACATGGCTCAACAGTTAAGAGTACTGGCTGCTCTGGCTGAGGTCCCAGGTTTGGTTCCCAGTATCCACATGGCGGCTAACAATTATCTGTAACTCCAGTTCCAGGGCATCTAATCTCTGTAGACTCTTGGTATTATACTAAACAAAAGAATTCTTGAGTATTGTATTTAATCTGCAGTATGTAAATGCACACATGCTGTGAGTCTACAGGGAAAAGCTCCCTTTCAGAATCCCTTTATCATGTGAGGACAATATTTGAGATTATTAACTTTGAGATCTTAAAATTTCTCAGGGAAAGAAACATTAAAAATTAAGAATTAACAACATTCTAAAACACATTCCTCAATATAGACAAAAAATAAAAGAGAACCTGAAGAAGACATTGTTAGAGAAATACAAGATATTTAAAAGAAAAGGAAATCTCCTTTGTATTCTTTAGTTAAAAGTGATTATCTTTTTAGTTTCAGAAACAATATTACAGTGCTAGACTAAGTACTGAAAAACTGAATCCTGTATTTTAAAGTGAAAAATTCGAAAACCATCTGCAGAGTATGGTGTTGCACACCTTTAATACCAGGACTTGGGAGGCTGAGGCAGGTGAATCTCTGTGAGTTCAAGGTTAGCCTGGTCCACATAGTAAGTTCTGAGTCAGCCAGTGCTACATAGTGAAATTCTGTCTCCAAAAAAATAAAAGCCCATGGGCTGAAGAGATGGCTCAGTGGTTAAGAGCACTGACTGCTCTTGCAGAGGACGCAGGTTCAATTCCCAGCACCCATAATGTTGACTATGAACCATCCTTAAATCCAGTTGCAGGGGAATCCAAAGCCCTCTTCTGACCTCCGCAGCATTGCATGACACGGGTGCACTCACATACATGCAGGCAATACACTCATATACATGAAATAAAAATAATAAATAAAACATTAAAAAAATAAAAATAAACAAAAGCCCACCACCACCACCACCACCAACAACAAAACACTATCTGAAATTCTTAACAATAAAATTTAAGACTACATCTCTGGATAAAATGTTCAGGATTTAATTTACCTCATAAGTTCACTCTGGTTTTAGCTCAACATTTATATCTGGTTTTAGCTAAATATTAATATTTTGGTCAATATTTTATGGCCAAAATTTGTTTAGGGTCTCCTACTGTCTTTTTGGTTGTGAGCCTGAGACTTTAATAGCTGTACCAGCTCCAGCTCAGGGGATAGCCTTCTGTATACACAAATCAAAGTTGTCCACAATTTAACTTGTGATATAGTACTATTTGCATATGAAGTTTTACAGTTTTACATACCATATTTTACTACTAAGGTAGCTAATATACTTATTAATCGTGCTTTCTATGTACCATCATTTCCCAATATTAGGCTATGACAGTAGGAATTTTTTGATGCTTATTCACAGATATAGTCCCACTACCTGGAACAGTTAGTAGTTAATAAATCTTCTACTTAACAGTTCGAGCCTGGGAATATTTGTGCCAAAACATCTACAGTGTTCATAAAGCAAGTCTTGCTTTTGTTGCTGTTGTTGTTGTTACATTTTGCTTGTTGGTCTGCAGTTCTAGGGACTGAACTCAGTGACTCACTCACATCAAGCAACTGCTACAACTGAGCTGCAGCTATAGCCCAAGCTGGATTTTTGTTTGTTTTGGTTTTTGAGACAGGGTCTCACTATGAAGCCCTGGCTGCATGGAACTCATTACACAGACCAGACTAGCCTCAACTCACTGAACTCTGCCTCCTGAATACTACCATTAAATATTCCACCATGGTTGGCCCAAATCTTATTGGGAATGATAGCAACAAGACTATTTTTGCTACTCACTGTGATAAAATAGCCACAAAATTGCGGTTATTTATTTCATGATTATGGGAAATCTGAATCTGCATGATTTTCTAGGCGGCCGTCCTTCATATGTTGGATCAGTATTCCAATATATACTCCTACAACTACCATTGCAAAGAATGAATGAACATAGGCAATTACTTCAGCTTTAAGTGCTTTCATTAAATAGTAACCATTGTACTCATACTTCATTCTGTAAAGGAAGTCTCTTGGTGTGCTTGATTCTAGACAGCAGGAATAGCCATTTCATGTATTTATCAGGTGAACTAGAAATTATGAGCATATCCTTTGTCAACAAAAACATGTGAGGTATTTGCAAAACTAAGAGTCAAGTTCAGCAAATGAGTCACCGTTCTCTGGCAATAGAAATATACCATTATCAGAATTGGAGAAGCTATGAATTAGAGCTAGTGTTGAGCACATTTTTTAAAATGTGGTAGTAAGTATGGTTCCTGAAATACTAAAGGAATATCCACTGACAAGATACTTGAGGCACAAAGGTGATAATTACATTTTCCAAGAGAACATTTTAATTTTTAAAATGTGAAGGAATTTGGTCAGCTTCTGAAAATATAGGACAACAAAGGAAGAATTGCCAGAGACATAAAAAGAGAAACAGGATAGTGTATAACTGTGAAAGACCAAGGCATGAAAGTGTTGTAGGAGAGTTAGCTACACAAAGTGCATTAAGAGATGCAAAAGAAAAGATAATTGATTTGGCAATTAGGAACACATAAGTTATATCTAAAAATTGATTTAGAGTAGTTAAATGGGACTCAGTCACTCATAATAAACAGATAAAAAAATGAACATCGACAATAGAACTTCGTAAAGTTCGTGAACCACAAGTTTTAGAAAGTGAGAGTATGCAGCAACATTATTAACCTGACTCATGGTTAAGAGAGACTTTTATCCTTTTCCTACCTTGCCCATCTAACCTCCAATGGATATGGGAGACAGGAGGATAAGACAGAACATAAACGTTTATGAGACAAGTTAAGCTAACTCAAAACTTAATGTTATTCATCAGAAATTGACTTGAGCTGTATTTCTCTTATCATCTCAGTAATGCTGTGAAGTAGTCATTTTCATTTCCATTTTACAGGTAAGCAGAAATTCAGCAAAAGGTCTGTCAATAAAGAACAGAGAATACTTAAAACCTTGATCTAGCTTAGTTCCAAACTATTGTTTTTCCGTGAACACCCTAGAATTCTCAATATTCTCTTCACTTGTACTATGCTTTGAATATATATATAACATATCTCTTTAAGAAAGCATTAAAAAAGAACCAGCACAATTTCAAAATGCAGAAATCAACTGGCCATGATTTTACATGTCTAAAAGTCTCAGAGAGAACATAGATACATCATCACTTCTTATCTTTGAGTGACAATTGTGAAATATTTCATATTGTTCCTTTTTTCACATTTACTACAATAAACCTGCATTTATTTTGCAATAATAACGCTCCCAGAATACACAGTTCACATTTTATATAACAACGGTAAACATCAAATTAAAACATCTTTCCCATTTCAACTCTTGAGACAACGTAGCAAACTACTTCTCTCCTTGTCTTCAATTTATAATTGACTCAGTGTATTGCTCCAGAGTTCTGCAGCCTGAGTTGGCTTGACCCCCAGAGGATCACCATCCCTACCACACAACACAACACAACAAAACAAAACAAAAGCCACACACAAGACCTGAGATCTTTAGATCTCATCTGGAGCTACTGGAGACGAACGAAAAACAGTCTGCTTGGCAGGCAATACATTTTGGTCAAGTATAACGACAGGATTTGTGGAGATCTCTACAGCAAACCTTCTCTTATCGCTAGACGCTCCAGTTACCTAGTTACCAGAGCCATCTTTCCGGAGCTCCGCCTCCTTTATCTAGACCACGCCCACTTCCTCTTTACGCCTCTCGCTAGAGGGCGGGGACCCAGGAGACTTCAGCCACTCAGAAGCCCGCAACGCAGGTTCTCAGCCTCTTATTGGAGTAGCACGGTGTGGGCGGTGCCTGAGGGCGGGTCTTCCGAGCCTGGGGAACGTCAGCACGTCGACGGGGGTTTTCTCTGGCCAAGTCCTGCAAAGCTGCTGTGGTGTCCCTGCGCTTGTGTCGGTCGGGCTGTCCGGGGTCTGAGGGAGGGCAGGGCTACGAGCCCTGTGACCGGCACGGTACCTCCCTCCCGGTCTGTCCCGGCCGGTCCGCTCTAGGTCACCTCGGGGAGGCGGGGTCCCTGCGGACGGCCGGGAAGCGCGGGGCCCATCCCCGCCACGGGCTCGGATGGGAGGTGGCGGGAGGAGCGACCTGGGATGTTCAGTCTGATGGCCAACTGCTGCAACTTGTTCAAGTGCTGGCGGGAGCCTGTTAGGTAGGCTGGGGAGCGGGATGCCCCAGGGCCGGGCAGGGCCGGGCACCGCCTCTTCACTCTGCGCCGCTGAGTTGGCCTGGCCCAAGGGATGCTGTCCTTCCCCATGGGACTTGTCCAGGAGGGAGAGGTTGAACCTGTAGCCTTTGTCTGCTTGACTACGTTCTGATCAGAACTACCTACTTATGTAGTTTAAATTAGTCTAAATTTCTTTAAAAGGAGAGAGAGAGAGAGAGAGAGAGAGAGAGAGAGAGAATAAAAATTATCCATTCTACTTTTCTTCATATCCTTTGTAATGGAAGCAAGTTTTTAAAGAGAGAGGTGTGAAATGTAGTTTTCTTAACATAGGCCATTTTAGCACTTTCAATCTCTCATACACATCTGAACACACACAAACGCACACTATTTGAATATTTGGCTCCACTTTGGCTCCTCTACTTACTAATTATATGATAAAATACTCTTGGCCTGTCTTCATATATTAAATGAGTGTGATAATATCTATGCGTAAGAAGTGCTGGATTCAGTGAGACTAAGTGGTGAATAGTGTTTTCTTAGCTGTAATTTACCCTCAGTTTTTACATGCACACTAGTAAAACCTTATAATTGAAAGCTCTACTACTTAACATTTCATTTTGCATGACTAAATATGTTAATACTAAGTACCTGTTACTTTGTTGTGCATTCAGTAATTAGTTATCAAGGAAATGATGTGCCAGGAACTGTTAGTAAGGAGTCAGTGAAACTGAGGCTTCTGAGACCCAGAGGCCCAAACTATAGGAGTTCTTACTTTTTATTAACTTTTCATAATTCTACTTTGGAATTAGGCCAAGGGTGAAATCTAGCCCAGTATTTTTTTTTTAATTGTGAACATCACAAATCAGTATTTGTCATAAAGATGAACAGTTCGTTAAAGAATGAATCTGAAAAGCCACACATAACACTTTTAAAGGAAAATACATGTGTGTATTTGGAAAATGAAGTTTGGTTTAAACAAAACTTTTGAAATTCTTTTCTCTTTATTAGCTCTGGGTTTGGATGTGTTGAATATAAGAGATATGATCACCTCTAAGAACCAAAGGCATTTTGGGTGTGTCCGCAGAGTGATTTACTTTAAGCATATTCTGGTCTGATATCGTAGTTTCTAAGCTGATTTCATAGCTTCTAAGACTTTAAGATCATAATACATGCTCATTCATATTTTTTCTGCTTACTTTTTGAAAATGTATTTTTATGAGAGCATTTAGGATATGTCCTTTTCAAATAAAATCATTTTAAAAAGGTTGTAATTAGACAATTTCAATCATACTTAGTTTTTACTTTTTAAAAAAAATTATTTTTATTTTTATTTCATGTGTATGAGTGTATTGCCTGCATGTATGTGAGTGTATCTATGTTGTACAGTGCTGTGGAGGTCAGAAAAGGGCTTCGGATTCCTCTGGAACTGGAGTTAGGATGGTTTATAGCCGCCATGTGGATGCTGGGAATTGAACTTGGGTCCTCTGCAAGAGCAGTCAGTGCTCTTAACTGCTGAGCCATCGCTCCACCCCAGGTTTTTACTTTTTAAAATAATGGCAGTATGTTCTTTGGGTTTGTTTAAAGAAAAGGCAGTTCAGAGAGAAGAGCTGTATTGATTTCTAAGTAGGAGAGATAATTGAATTTTATTAAGCATAAAATTTAATGCTGCAAGTCAGAGTGGATTTTCCTTTTTAATAAGCAGCACTTTGTTCTGTGCTACCCAAACTGAAGTGCTATAAATATACAATACTTAGGGAAGTTAGAAGATTTTTGCAGTAAAGTCAGTAGTGATCTCTTTAAAGTCTACTGAATGTTGAAATAAGAACTTTTCCATTACTAAGTAATATATTAAACTAATATTAGTTTTGTTTCTCTTTTATTTTTTTTCAAAAATGCAATTGCTAGAAATTTTAAACTACTATGATATTTACACTATATTTCTTGATATCTTGCTAATCTAGATTATAGTTTAATGTATCTCTCAGTGTTGGTTAGCATGAGCTATAAAACTATTTGAAACAAAGTTAGGTTATATCTAACTTTTTAAAAAAAATATGGAGTGCTTCACACATTTGCAGATTGTCCTTGTGCAGAGGCTGTGCTAATCTTTGTACTGTTGCAGTTTTAGTATATGTGATGCCATACCAAGCACATGCCTAACCTTTAGGTGCTCTTGTCTAATACCTGGTTCACAGTAGTGGCTGAGTGTGTACTAAATATTATCTATAATTTGATCGTCTTTTACCATTAACTATGCTTACAAGAATAATCTTAGAAGGGAGTTCTGTTTATTTTACTGAATAAATGAGAAGCAAGCTCATTATAAAAAATTGAAATGCTATGCTGTTATGATTTGTACTTAGCTAAGAGAAATTGCTTTTTTATATTT